AAAAAAAAGAGTATTTATTGAAAGAAAAAAGTGAACAGTTCATATTAGTTTATTGGAAATGACATTAAAAAACAGAAATTCAACCTTGTTCTCTCTTCATTGCAAATTAAAAACAAACACAATATATACATACCTAGTGGGATTGAACCCGACACGAAGGGACCAACACAACACCACAACCCAACTTCCTCAAATGTTATAAAATCTTGAGATTATTATTAGCTTTAATTACGTACCTGATTATCGAATTCAAGCCCTCCAAAGCCTCCCTGAAAGCCTCAAAGTTTCTTATGATTTGGAATTTACTGTACAGATAAAACGATCTTCTTTCGATGACTTTCTTGAGATCTTGAACCTTAAGACCTTCACAGCACAAATACCCATCTTTAGATTTGCAGGAGAAGTGAATTTGCAAAGAATTTTGAAGGATATAAAAAATGAGCAAATCTGTTCACTGTGCAAAAGAACAACATCGATTAGGGTGGTCTAGTGAGGGTAACGGTCTTATTCCTCACTTAAAAGTTTAGAATTCGAGTTTTGAAATTTTTATTAGAATTTAATGATTGACCGTTATGCTAGTCTATCTAAATCTACTTTTGAAAGACGTTCTAGATGCGATCATAAACCTTATAAACCCCCCTAACAAGTTGACCTCGCATTCTTTTTTTAAATTAGCTTAAAAGAACAATAAAACGACGCGTACCATTAAGCAGAGGAGCGGACCCCAAATTCCCATCGACAAAACCTATAACCCCTTGACTGTGTTACTTCGGCAACAAATACAACTACTTTTCGACAAAACCGATGGCGTTACTTCGGCAACAAGTATAATTATTTTTCGTTGGAGTATAAATATTGGATCTTTTGGTCCTTTTACGTTAAGTCTCCCTTCCTTCTCTCTCAACCCAGACGTCTCTCTCTCTTTTCCTCTACCTCTGTTGTGCGATGGCGTGAACCCAGTCAAGAGCTTCGACGAAGAAGAGGCTTCTTCTTGTCTTATCAACTGCTGCCCAACGAAGATCCAGATCTCCTCCATCAATTTCTCCCTCGCTGTGAAGGTAAGTGTAACCAGTCTATTAGAATATATATATATATATATATATATATAAATAGATCTGTAAATTGGTCTCTTGTATAAGATATATATACAGATCTATGTCTTAGAAACTTTCTCAGCTACTATTGAAGCTCTCTGTTCATAAATTGGATGGTTTTCCTTCGGTCTTCGCAATGTGGTGGTGTTTTTGGTGCCTTGGAATTTGTCTTGCCCCGGAGTATAGACTAGCAGTAAAAAAAGTTTTTTACTTTACTATTGAAGGAGGTGTAAAGGCAAGATTTCATGGCATGGTCATAGAGGCTCATGGCTAAACTTTTTTTTTGGTAAGTTTTTGTTTACAAACATGTAGAGCAATTTATTCAATTTATGTACATATGGATACATCTAGTTCGTATTAATTGGGTATCAATAACAATGGGATGATCAGCTAAGTTCATTTGACTTGCAGTGTGGTTATTAGATTGTTGGTTGATTATCTTAAGTTCGATAGATTACTTTTATTAGACATAGCAGTATTCTGGAAATTAACTGCTCAATATAGTTTTAGGAAGTGTTTGAATTCATTAAGGCCAAATTAAATAGGAGCCATCACAAAAAATGACTCTAGATTTAGGATTTTACAAATGGCCATCATTTCATTGTCAATTATCATTTGCCATTGTTGTTCTTATTTACCAAATCAGCCTGCGTGCATAATATTAAAGGTGGAGAAATGCAAAAAGGTGTAGGATAAAGGAATGCTTAAATTTGCATCCCAATGCAAACATTAATTTTTATTTTTTTTTGTTTTCGATACATTTTAATACTATTGAATTTTATTATTAAAGTAGTTTTGTTTTGGTGGGTATAGTGGAATGTCAAAGACGTTACTATTACAAACTATTAAACTACAGTTTTCTTGTTTGTCCACGAGGTTGTTGTGAAGCATTTAGACCCCATCGGAACCACAGTAAGATACATTTGTAACTCTTTGGCTTTATGGATGATACATTGAACTACACTAAACTATATTGGATTAGAAAGAGGACCACAATAGGAATGTTTACATTTCTGCTTTTTAATTTTATCATAATATTGGGAGGGTGTTCTGGGAATAGTTATGGCCGTAGTGGTTGTGTTAAGAGCACAGCATGGATAAGCTAAAAATCATTAACAGACAAAAATCAAAAACAGTTAATTTTTTTCCCATTTTGGATGGATTAAATTAAAATTTTCAAAATGGATGAAAAACTACTGTAACAATTAAGAAAATATGTTAAAAGTTAATGTGCATTATGGTCACATTAAATCGATTATGGATAAGTATTAGTTTTTTTTTTTTTTAAATTTACTCTGGCTTAAGTTTATGAATTTTCCTATTACACTGTAGCTTAATTTTTATGTTTTAATGTATGGCCTTTCAAGAATAAATTGGTTATGCAACACATCATTGTAAAAATTAAAATAAAATAAAAACTCATAAGTCAATAGTTCACGTGCAACGCACGTGTGCACCAACTAGTAGGCTAAAATGCCCTCAACATTTTTCTCTTTACATATAGAGAAAATTTCATTTACACTTCATATAGTTAGGTCTAAATTCAATGACACCCCTCCCGATTCTAAAACTTTATTGCATACCCTTCTAGTTATACGTTCAAATCAACAATACCTCTTTAACAGTAACTTTTGCCAGTGCCAGTAGAAAAAATAATGATTTGACTAAATATTTTATGAAAATGCCAAAATTATGTGTTAAATAAATAGACTAAAATGCCCACAATTCTTTTCCCATTATATATGCCCTACCCAACCAGTAAGCGTGATTTTTATAAATTATCTCAATGAATTTTTATCATTTTAAAGCGTTGTATGATAACTTTATTACAATATTAGTCATTATATTATCACTCATTTGGTTATATAATTGAGTTTTTATAATTTTTATAGTTAAAAATAATTTTT